GGATGAAATAGGAGAAAGAAGATTGCTAGGACCGAATTGGTATAAGCAGACGACTAAAGTAGTAGACCGCATCCGCCAACGGATGAAAGTAGCCCAAAGTAGACGAAACGTTACGCGGACAAACGGAGGAAGGATCTAGAGTTCATGTTCGGTGATTATGTATTTTTAAGAGTCTCACCAATGAAAGGCATACTACGATTTAGGAAAAGGGAAAAGTTAAACCCGTGGTACATAGGACCGTTTGAGATATTGGAGCGAGTAGGAGATAAAGCATATCGCATATTGCTACCACCATCCTTAGTAGGAATACACAATGTATTTCATGTGTCTATGCTAAAGAAGTGCATTGGAGAGCCGGGTCAAATTTTGAATATAGAGCCGCTGAATCTTACTCCAGATTTAACGTACGAAGAGAGACTAGTCCAGCATTCTCGATCGACGGGTCAAACAGCTTGAAAAATAAAGAGATAAGGCTAGTTAAGGTTTTGTGGGAAAACCATAACCTCGAAGAAATGACTTGGGAACGTGAGCAAGAAATGAAAGATAAATACCCCGAGTTATTCAAGTGAATCAATTTCGAGGATGAAATTTCTTTTAAGGAGGGAAGAATTATAACCCCCGTAAAAACCCTTATCCGTAACGCGACGTGTATTAGAATAATTCTATATATATGTATATTAAGAGTAAGTATAATTATCATTTCATCATGAGAAATTAATGCTTGAAATATGTGATTTATGTTAAATTAAATTTATTGTGCTTAAGATTAATGGTTTGATTATTAAAGAAATCAAATATGCAAAATCGATGTTTTAAGGACTATATTCTGCCCGAGTTTTGGGTGAATTATTTGAGGACTTTAGGGTAATTTTTGGGTCAATCTTAAAGAATGAAAGTTGTTCATCTATGTGTTCACTAGAGTTTGTATAAAATTTTATAATATTTAGACCTATACATTAAGAGTTATACCAATTATAGTGAGGGTTGTTTCGAAATGCATTCTGCTGGAATTTTGGGAGAAGAATCCGCCCGAATCTTATGAGATTTATTTGATGCTGTTAGATTGATTTTTGAGCAAAACTTAAAGAATAAAAGTTGTTTTTCTATGTGTGTACTAGCTCTCTATAAAATTTAATAATTTTTAGATACATATAGAAAGATTTAAGCACATTTTAGTATAGATGGGTTAGGAGGAAACACTACTGGAATTTTGGGAGGAAAAGAAATTTCGAATTTTTAAAAATGGAAATTTTTGAATTTTTATAAAAGAAAGTAGTTTTAGTTACTTGAATTAAGTTAATTAATGATTTTAATTAGTCTAAATTTTATATAGACACCTAAGCAAATGCAATAAATGAATTTAATGCCAACTCACCCATTATGGATTCCAAAGCGACCAGACTTTCCTCATGACTCACCCATAACCTTTACACCTTATCCCATTAATTTTTAACACTTGTAGCTGAATGAAAGTAAGTAAGTATATATATATATATATATATATATAGCAAGTGTTAAAATAGGAGAAAAATTTTAGTAACTCGTAGGTACCGAAATTGAGAGAGAAAAGGCAAGAAAGAAAAGAGAGGAAGAAAAACGTGAGGAGAGAAAGGAAAGGAAAGAAAAAGAGCTAAGAAAACTATAATCAAACCTAAAAGAGGTAAGTAGGTTTCATTTCTTGTCTAATTAATGTCTTAAATTATTTTTTTTAAGTTATTTTGTTAGTGTTTATTTCATGGGTTGTAATAATCTTCAATGATTATATGCTTGATGCTTGATGCTTGGGATAAATCTATGTATGGATGCCTTGTTATGATGATTTATGATGTTATGATTTTTTGAAAAATGTCCAAGTATGTGGTGATGGTTTGGATTAAACTTGGACTAAATTTAAGTGAACTAAAACATGTTTAAAATTGGCTTGGAATGAACTAATAAATTAGTGTTGATAAGGAGTAAATTCTGTCCGAATTTTGGGATGTATGTTCAAGGATTTTAGATCGATTTCTAGGTGAAACTTAAAGCATAAAAGTTGTTCATCTATGTTTCAACTAACTTTCTTTAAAATTGCTTGGTCATTGGATTCGTGTACAAAGAGTTACACCCAATTTAGTATGGATAGCTCTAGATAAACTACTATTAGGCAGATTGCTCCCTAAGTTTCAAAAATTTATAATTAATTATATACTTGGTATTTAGACCTACTTTTTGGATATTTTATAAATAAATATGTCTAGTATCTAAAATAAAATGAGTAAGTTTTAATTATGTTCTGAAATTAGAAAATTATTTACTTGATTAGGAGTTGCCCGGTAATAAACCCTAAAACCAAAAAAATTAGACTTTGACAAAATTAATAGGTTTGGAATAAACTAAATAAGCTTGGACTAAATAAAATGGAATTAAATAGAGTCAATGGACCTAAGATAAAGTTAATGGGCTCGGATTAAAGTAAATGGACTTTGACTTTCTTTTAAATATTAATGAAACTAATGAACAATATTAATGAGCGAGAGATTGTGTTTCCACTTGTGGGTATCATGATTGATATGTGAACAATGGATAAATTTCGAGTGTGGGTTGGACCATGAGTATGGCATAAGAATGAAGGGTTGGTACCCGAATTTGGTTGAATGTGATTAAATATGTCATCATGTGCATCATGTGCATAGTGGGTGATTTAAGACAAGTCAATTGATTGAGAAATGATTTATACATCTAGGTTTGATAACCTAATTGGAATAAACGGGTATTAGTAGTCCAAGTACTCTAGGATATGTGCCTCGCACTATTAGACGATGAATTTCCGCTAATAGTAGTTACAACGAGGGATAATTCCGTTGTAGCGAGAAGATGATCCGAGGATCATCCGGATGAAATCAAGTCGTGTGCTTCGCACTCGTTAGACGATGGATTTTTGCTAACGGTAGTTACAACGAGGGATAATTCCGTTGTAGCAGAAGGTGATCTCGCGGACCACCCGGATGATAAATAGAGTAGATCGGCTAATACCTATGGTACCCGAGATTAAAATTTATGAGTATGGTGGGAAGTCAAAACAACATTGCATATCACGTGCATCACCCCGCTTACCGAGCTTCGGCTCACCCCGTTGTTATTTTTTTTATGTCTTGACAGAAAAAGGAGAAGTTGGTATAGATGTGGTCGGCTCCTCCTAACCGGCTCATGTGAGGCACCATATATTAGTTTTTATTTTGTCTCGTAAATTTGGGGTATGGAGTTCGTGAGAAATTGAATATCGCCTATAATGTTTTATTAATATATTTAATTATGTTATGTAAATTTTATCTTAAGGAGTTATATACGTAATGTATCGCTAAAGTCCTAAGAATATCATAAGAACACTACTTAGAGTTTAAGGTATGTCGGCGTAACGCGCTTCGTCCAATACCTTACTTAGGTAGTAGAAATATGATTGAGGCGGGGCGTTACACATAATGACTATACTAAATGGGTTCGAGTATGCAGCATAAAATAATTATGTGTGTGTGTTTTCTCATTTAAAAATCATAAAAAACTCATCATATAAATTATATTAACGTACTTAAAAATAATAAACACATACTAAATTTCTATTCAAACATCCATACGTAAAGAAAAATAAACCATATTTGCTTAACAAATAAAATTATATAAAAAAATAAATTAAACATAATTGGTTGTTTTCATAAAAACAACAAATCAAAAAAAATCACCCTAACATCTAAAGCGAGAAAAATAAAAAATAAAAAATCAAAGAAATCATATTTTTTCATCATCGACTCGTATAAAAAAAAAAGAATATCTTTTCATAAATTTAGCATGAAATCTATAATAAAAAACTATAAAAATAATTGATAAAAATAATATTTTGGGATCAAAATATGATATAAATGAAGTTGGAGATGAAAATAATTTTTTTGAAAACATGAGAGACCAAAGTGTAACATTGAGTAAAACTTGCATATAAATAGTTGAATAGTGTGTAGTAAAAATGAATAGTATATTAAGCATAGGTGAATGGTGGTGTGAATAGTAATTTCTCCAAATTTACTAGTGTTTTGTATGATAGTACTTGTTTAATTAGGTGAACTATAAGAAAATGTAAATTATTAGTCCACCAGGTAACTTGTAACTTGCAATTAATTCGTCAGTTGACCAATAGAAACATCAAAGAAGTGTATTTCTCGGACAGTTTGATGTGGAATGGTGCGATCAGCCTACAAGGATCGCACCATATTACAGAGAAATTAAAGGACATCAAGTCTCTTTCAAAACGCATCATGGTTTATTATTGAAAGACGGTACCGGGAAAATATAAAATGTTCATTCTTCTTCACGGAGAAAATCAAACTTACAATCTTTCCTCCTCCACTTGCTTCTGACAGCCTCTGATCCCAACTCTTTTTCGTGGTAATGAGGAGAAATTACCATTGTTTTAGTTCAGCTTTCTTTCATGTTATTCATAAATTCGATTTTTTATGTAATAAAATTGGGAGTTTTAAAGCCATTTTGTACGCTCAGAGCCTAGGCTTTTCTTCATTCTCGTGTATTCATCTCCCTAAACTCCTGATTTTTTAGAGACTTGAAAGAATACCTGAAATTGCTATTCACAACTCCTTTTTTTTTCCAAAGTAGAAAAGTAACTTTTATTAATTGAAGAAAAATAATGTACAGAGATCGTACAAAAAGTTCCACATCCTTATTCCCCCAACAAATCATTCTCAAACAAAAACCCAATTCGGAATATATCAAAACTCCAACCATAATTCCAACTTAAAACACTCAAATTCTACACTCTTCAAGCAGTCTTTCATCAGTGGAATTGCTCATCCTGACCAAATATCAACAACAGCATACTTTCATCAAATTGATCATATCTATATGACAAGGACAAAATATACAGGCAAAACCTCGCAATTAAAGCACTAAAATACTTAAAAAAATAGACAGATGGTGTTCAATAGGCTCTCACGGATGCCAGGAAACCATCAAAGCAGTCATTTGTCACTAGTGGGCAATGAGTCTACAATAGCAGTTATCTTCTTCTGTAACTCTGGCTTGTTGGCTCCCACAAGCTTGTCCAGCTGCTGCCCATCTCTAAGAAAGAAGAAAGTAGGAGTAGCTTTGATCTCCCATGAAGTACTGAAGTCCTGCAAATCACACACAATAAGATGCCAATATTCACCATCATTTAGCTCGACATATTCTGCTGTAAACAGAATCTGTAACAATATCAATATATAACAGCTAGTCCTTTGCCATTATGAATTTCTGCATATTCTGCTCAGTGAACAAATTTCAAAATCAGGATTTTTTTTTTTTAATTATGTTTCTTCAATATCTATTGTGCAGACTGCAGGACAAGTCTCAAAAAAATTTGAGACAGTGCATATCATGCAACTAAAACTCTAGTTAAGACAGTCCTACATGTTTAGATGAATGAGAAGAAAAATTGGAATATCAGTCATCAACTATAGTATTTTAGAACTTACAGATAATTCATCAACATCAACCAATACGAACATTAGAGAAGGGTATTTTTCAGAAAGCTCGTTGTAGAATGGTGCAATCTGTCTACAAGGACCACACCATGTTGCACTGAAATTCGCAAGCACCTGTTAAACATCCATACTCAGTTCAAAAAGTGAAAAATAGATTACCAAAAACACTAGTCAGGTAGATCAAATAAACTTTTCATGAAGTCAGCTACTTCCAAACCCAACCAACATAGTCATATTCATATTACAACAGCTGCAAATGAGAACTGTCTCTGCGCTTGAGTGGAAATAATGAGAAACTTTTGGAAACACCAATTTCATCTCTTATTTTGGTTCGCAATGAAACTCTTAGAAATTTGCCAACCACAGGCTTTGATTCTCAGTCAAAACACATAATGGTGTATTATTAAGAACAATGGAAAAATAATAATCTCATGCATGGACAAAAAACAAACTTTTTATTTTTTTACTCACACACCCAAGGTTCCTAGCAGAACTAGTCTGCTAGGATTTGAATCCGTGACTTCTTGTTGCAAAAAACCATTACCACTGGCTACAGGCTCTTTGGTACAAAAAACAAACTTACAATTTTGCCATCCCTACTTGCTTCTGACTGCTTCTGATCCCAACTCTCTTTTGTGGTAATGAGGTGCACATTACCACCAGCAAACTCTACATGTGGCTCATCATCGTCTGCGTCATGTTTATACTGCAAAAATCATGAACGCTTAGAACCTTGTCCTTATATGACTTCCATAGGATAAGAATAAAACGTGTGTGTTAGTGCACAATACCAAGTGGTTCATTGGTGATTGCAGAGGACAAAACACAATTTAATCCATTGCAAAAGTGCCACAAGAAAGTGGAAGCCTCAAGAATAGGTGAGGAATAATAACAAAACAAGTCAGCTATATCTATATTCAAAACGGTTTCATTTAAAAAACATTGAGCCAAAAGAATTGATTCATTTGAAACAAACTATTAAAAAATATTAAATTTTTTTGCTTTTTATAAATGGCAATAGGTTCACTTGAATACCATCAAAAGCTAAAAATGAAATAGGAAGTTTTTTTTATTTTTTTATTTTTCCAAACAAAGTAGAGTGTAGATTTTTATTCCAAAGCTTCATATTCAAAGTTGAAGTTTCTGTTATTGTTTTACAAGTTTAAAGTGGTTAAGAGAGTTCATTCTTCTTCATGTTGGTAGTATTATCCTCTCACAATGGTGTTCCCCCTTTAAAGCTTGACTCTTCACGGACTGCTTATAAAAATTTTAATTGTGTGCAACGTATTTAGAACACAATATATTTAGGAAAAATATTAATGATTTGTGTTCCATATTCAGTAGGTATCTCTCAATTAAAACTGACAGTGATGTGAATTGTGAAGCTTGTTATAACTCTATATGGCTTCTCTTCCTGAATGGGTAACACCATGATATCTGATGACTTGCACCATTTTAACTAAGAGAACTTTGCTAGAAGCAATCAATCAATGACTCAATTGTATCCATCTCATTCTTCACCATCTTTTCCATGCTGCAAATGAAAATTACATCACCTGGTGAGTCTGCCACATTATCCCATAGTACCAACTACTTTACTGTTACCTGTGGAATCTTTTGTGCAATATTATACTAGCCAAGGTCCTGACCTCCCTTACATCAATAATCGAACTATATCTAATGCTACAATATTACAAAAAAAAAAAAAACTACTATTTTGGGCATTGCTCAATTCTTAACTCCTCGTATATCCTTCAAAGAAACAAACCCCATCGATAAGCTTCCATTTTCACGACTGATTAGTAAATTTTTTCCATTTGTATTATCATAAAAGCAATATGAAACACGATAAGAAACCCAAATTCACATATTTGCACATGCACAAACAAAAAAGAGTAATGAATTGCAATTATATATAAGAAGATAAAATGATTAATTTCTATAGAAACTCTTACCTTATCCAAGCAAAGTCCCATATCTGATTTCCAAACCTTTAATCCCAAGCAGCTTAACGTAGTATACCAATTATCCTAAAAATGGAACAAAATCTAAAATCTTCAACACAACTAAAGAAAACCCAGCAAAATGCATACTGTTCTTTCCAATTCACAACAACAATAAAAGATGAAGAAAGAAAGAAATTAATCACTTCAATTCGAAACTTTGAAGCAGCAGTCTCTGTTGGATATCAGTAAAATTAAATTTGAGTGGTAAGAAAAAGGAAAGTCTTTTAAAACATCTCTCTTTAAATTACAATCAAGAAACAATCAGTATTAAAAGTCTCTCCTTCAATCACATTAATAACACTAACATCATTATTTCTCAAAATAAACAACAACATTAAAAATTGAAAGAAGGAACTATAGAGGAAGAAATGAAGATAACGGTGGATAATTAATTACCTTCTCTAAGATAATCACAAGGAGATTATGAATACTGAAGTTGTCAAGGTTGAATGAAAACCCTAGTTTGTATGAGTAGCGAAAAGGGGAGAGAGAGAGAGAGGAAAGAGGTAGTAAAGGAGAAGAGGAAAGAAGTCCGTTTTGGCGTGTACAGGCAGACCCGGATTTTCTGTCTTTTGCTCTTTCTGTTTAAACTAATAAAAGAAGAGATCACTAACGTTCTAACACCATCTTTAGTCGTTGTTTGCAAGGCTGTCCTCGCCTTTCTTTTTTTTATTCAATGGGCCTTGTTTACCGTGAGTAAATTATAAATGAGTCCCTTTACTTTCTAAAAATAAATTAATTAGTCTATTTTGTTTTAAAAATTATTATTTAGTTTTTCAATCAATGTTGACTATACTTAATTTAATATTATTTTTATTTCAGAAAATGTATTTTTTTCTCATCAATCTTTCTAAACTTTTCATATTTTTTTGTTTTTTAATTTTTAAAACAAAAAAAAATCAAAATAAATTGAAAAAGAACAAAAAAGAAAATTAAGTTACAAACAGATTTAAAAGCATAAAGACTAAATAATTAGTTTTTAAAATAAAAAATTAATTTATTTATTTTCAAAATGAGAGAGACTAATACATAATTTACTACGTTTACCATTGAGCTAGTGATATTATTATATTCAAGTCGACCTAAACTGAATGATTCAACCATTTAATCGGTTTGAATTAACTTGAAAAATCGGGTACATGAGATATCCATTGAATTAGTTGGTTGGACCGATAGATTAAATATTGATTTAATTTAAAAGAAAATACATAGTATATAATTAAAACTTGAACTTGATACCTCCTACCAACTAAAATAATGCATTTATTAATTCCTCTTTACGTTTTATATGTAGCAAAATATACATATATTAATCCTACTAATTGAATTAGTGACATATAAATAAATAGTTTGACATAGTTATTCAAAAATTGGGTTGAACCATGAATAGCCTTATTGTTAAAAAAAAAAAAAAATTGCAGGGCTGAAGGCTTGCTTAATACGTGATCAAGAAGGGATTTAATCTCAAGACATACAAAAATTTACTGAAAATAACTTTACTGATCAAACGAAAATTATATAATTTTTGTTCGATCAGTTTGAACATAGGAATCAAACCCCTTCTGCTGTTGGCAAGCAAATAGAGAATGTTCAATTTAAAATATTGATTTTAAAATTTGAATCTAATAAATTAAGAAATGTAGCTAACTACTATGTCAATCTCTCAAAATTATTAAATGACATGGTATATGGAGTAAGCATTAAAATTTTATTGCCTATCAATGAGGAGTCTGGAATTGAAAACAGTGTAACATCATTGCAATGATTAGCTGGAAAAACCTAAGATTCGTTATTTGACTATTATTAGACTTGTTAAATTTAGTTTGATTAAATGATGAAGGTAATTATACCCCGTCCTGGATTTATATGCCCTTAATGCGCATATTTGGTCCGTTTGAAAAATGTCCTTTCTTTTGTTTTTGTCTCTCGCCAAGCATACCAAAAGAGAGCAAATCAGAAATCAGATTTGAGAGGTGATTAAATTTGGTAGAGTGCAAAGCAATATCTAAGCAAAGATCACTTAGCACTCAAATATCACTAAAAAATGCTCCCTTCTGGCTTGACTATTGGACCCATTTGCCAGGACTGATTAGGTCCATTTGGGTGGTGGTTACTGACCCATATGATGTATCTGATCACATTCTCCTTCCAATCCTCAGCAAGTTGCTTTCTTTTTTAATAGCAAGGAGAAACAAACAAACAAACAAGTTGCTCTCTTTGAATTTGCCACTTGAGAAGTCATGGACAATGGCCCATGTGATTTTGTTTTTCCTCTTTCATTTGATGCCAAAGTGAGCGAACTTCTCCACTAAATTACAAATTAATCACTCTATTTTCAAAAAAACAAATTAATTAGTTTTTTTACTTGAAAAACTAAATAACATAATTACTTTAATAATATTTTATTTCAAAAAATAACATCTTTTTTCACCCATCCTTCCATATTTTTTCTTTTTCTTTTTCTATTTCTTAAAGAAAAAATCAAAATATATTAAAAAGAACAGAAAAATATTAAGTTACAAAAAAAATTAAAATATAAAAAATAAATAATTATTTTTTGAAAAAAAAGAATTAATTTATTTCTCAAAACTTGAAGAACTAATTTATAATTTACTCCAAGCTTTTTTAATTCAAAAAAATAAATAATAAATAAATAAGTGAGCAAACTTCTTCACAACCCCATATGCGAGGAGCTCATATGCAATGGGCCGAAAAGTTATGCCCTCGTTCTAGGCAATGCTGAAGATCCAAGGATCTTTAGGATGACAAGTTGACAGCTTACCGAAATCATACAAGAGAAGAATGACCGACAAGACGAAGGATACGAAGCTTGATCCATTTTGTTCAACATTGCTTTAAGTCAATTATATTCACTTCCAAAGTTTTACCATTTGATATTACGACATTGACGAGCAGAACACCATGACAATGAAATATCATTTTGCTCTAATTAAACAGTCAAAGGGACTAACCTAAAGTGATTTAAGGTTGCCTTCAACATCTCCCATAACACATCTTTCACATTCAATCTCAGTACTTCCACAATTAGGTTAGGAGACTGGATCGATTAAGGCAAAGTTTGGTTGAATACTTCCACAGTTGGATGTTGAAGCATATAAAATCCAAGGACAGAAACTTGCACAAATACAACAAACAGTCTAGCCATCATAATGAGCATACAAGGCAAGGCAAGATGCAGACAATTAAATGAAGATGAAACGCCATGCCAAAGGGAGAACTGTTAAGAAAGGCAGTAAAAAGAAATGTCTAGATCAAAAAGACATACTTTCCATACAGTTATTTTCCATGCAATCCCCAGAACATAGTCTGGAACCGCATGAAATGACGTTCATTCTTACGAAATTGAAACCCCCCTTAAAACCAACCCCAAAAGAGCAAAACAGACCATCTTTCAACACATATGACAATAAATATGGGTCGTTTCTACATTGTCTCCATAACCTCAGCCCATGGCATACTTCTGTGTCCAGCTGCGAGCAGTAGCTTCATATTTGCTTCTGTCAGTCTTGTACATATGGGCAATCTCCGGAACAAGAGGATCATCAGGATTTGGATCAGTCAGCAATGAGCAAATGGAGAGCAGTACCTGATGTACATTCAGGTACAGTTATGCATCAAACAATTAGCAGTAATAAATCCTCCTTAGACTGTGGTAGCATGGGAGCAAAGTATAGAGAATTTTAAGTCAGTTCCAAAATGAAATCTAAAGCCTCATGCTCGCCCAACCCAACCCAACCCACTGCACCACTCTGCTTTGACAGCATTGATCAACTTTAAAAGGAAAAGAAAAGGCAAGTTCAAGGAACTAGAACCTTGTTTGAAAATCAGCAACAGAGAGCTTTCCGTGCGTCCTTTATCTATGGGACATAAAGCCATTCATGTTTCTATCCTAAGAAACATCAACTACAGGAGGATATTGAAGCTGATAAACAGGAGGCCGAATTGCACCCAATCCCTATCTACCCACGCAATCATAGACTGGCAAGCTAATTTTATTATGATAACAGTACACTTTGAACATCTAAGAATCGCACACATTTTGCAGGCAATAAACAGGCAAGAGAAAAGGATAAAAATCTATAATAAGACGACAAAGACTCTCGGCAATAAACATAATCAGTAGCACTAAAATTTGAAAAGAGCAATGTGAATGCTACTGTATTCTTAAACTACTGCTACATAAAATATCCAATCACAAACTCTTCCATTCTCCGTTCATCCTAAAACTAATGACAGTCTACAAACTTTACTAGGGCATGCTATTGCTAGGTAAAAAAACGATTAACCTGTTATCAACATAAATTAACAGAATGAAATCCAACCTTAGAAATGGTAAGAGCAGGACTCCATTGCTCTTTAAGGATATCAAGACAAATGCTTCCATTACTATTAATGTTGGGATGAAAGACCTTGGTCCTAAATGCAACCTGAAAGGAGAAAACAACATTAGCCCTCCAAAAAAAATACACACAACTAAACAAAGCAACGCCTTTTCATCTAACCGCTCACAAATCCAACTCAAAATCTGAAATTTCACCATTGACTGCATAATAAATTACCTTAGGGGGCTTGAAAGGATAATCAGGAGGAAAATGGATACTAACTAGAAATACCCCTCCTGCATATGGACTATCAGCAGGTCCCATTATTGTAGCTTGCCAGTGAAACATATCTTCAGCTACAGGACCTATAGCCAAAAAAACCACAAGATTTATCAACCTCCAAATTTAAATAATTCCACGTAAAACCGAACATTCAATACAAAAGAAAACAAGAAAAAGATGGAAACAAACTGAGCTCAAAACCATAACCAGCCACAGTAAAAGTCTACAAAAAGATATAAAAAAAAAGTTCTGAAATTTAGCCAAATTGGAATAATCTGAAGAACTGGGCTTTTAGAAATAAAAAATTATTCCACACCTGCACTGCAGGAAGTAGGTGGATCCTTCTGTAAATCCTTGAGTTCCTTCAAAATACGCTTTGAAGCCATTATTATTACTCCTCCTCTTCACCCTTAGTAAGAACAAAAAAGAATCACAGTTACAACAACATCAAAGAAAAATAGATTAAAAGAAAAAAGAAGGGGCAAAAGATGATTACCCGAAGATGGAAAGATGGGGTCACGGAAGGGGAAATCGGCGATCTGAAAATAAATTAACGGTGGATCCAACACAACCGCTGATTTCCCTCTCCCTGGCCTGTTCTTTTCTATTTCTTTTCTTCCAGACAGAGCCAGCCGCAGAGGGGGAGGCGAAGGTCTACTTTTGGTTTTTGGAATCTGCTTTTATTGTGTTTTGCTCGTGTGTTAGGGTCTGTTTGGCGGTGCTGGAATAGAAAAATATGCACCGCTTCTACGCTTCTAGAAATTTTATATTAATTCAATTGTAACTGCCAAGTACCAATAGATTCATCGATTTTACACTTTTATCCTCATAGTTTTAGCGTGAGTTTGTGATTTTTCAAAAAAAAAAAAAACTTTCAGAATAAAAAGACATCAAAATTGATAGTTTTTAGATATGTTTTCCGATGGTTTTGATAATTCTCGTATCAAATAATCAAAAAATTACTCCAAAGGGCATCAAATTTGGTGTTTCTTTTTCATCCAAAAACATTTTAAAAAATATCTAAAACACACATAACTAACAAAAAGCTCTTTTTTATTTTTTATTTTCCACTCAAGTACTCGTAAATTTTATAATATCTCTTGACAATAGTTAAAAACCAAAAAAAAAAAAAAAAAACTTAGAAACCAAATGAGAAAAGTAGGTTGTTGAATGATTAGGGCTAACATAGAATTTTTTGGAAACTAAAATGGGGATAATAATACATTATAAGGGTCAGGACTAGCGATAAAACCTTTTTTAAAAAAAAAAAAAAATAGCCATTTTGTTAATGTCAAAATAAATTACTATCTTAACATCTGTTAAAAAAAAAAAAAAAAAGACAAAAACCTTGCAAGTTTTAGCAAATCTAAGTCCTTTTTATAGGGAAAAGGAAGAAGAAGAAGAAGATATATGAGCTTTTCAAACAAGGGTTTCCCAAAACAAGACTTTTCTTTTTTCAAATCACGCATATACATGAATCTCCTGCTATCATGAATTAATAGGAGAACGGATCGATTTGAATGCCAATAGATGTCAACCCCTTTTGAAAAGTACGATAAAATTTACAAAACTTTTATTCAAATGACCTAATTTCCTAGATCTAGAGACATAAAACTTGCATTCAAATAGAAAATTATATCTACAAATCAAATATGAAAAGATAAAATATTGATTAAGGGAAATAAACAAAGATTATAAAATCTCATCCATGTAAAAAAAATAAAAACAAATCAAATAAAAAAGGGATTGTGACTAGTAGGAGTCTTGAGTAGAATTGAGACATTGATAAATTTGTGAAGGAAAAAAAAAGGTTTACCCAATTATTAATTATTGAACCAATGCCTTATCTACTTCAATTTTTTCCATGTTTTGAAATATCTATGTATGGTTTGATAAGCATTTAATACTACCAATACTATGGTAGGTAACTAATTGAATTTTTAAATTTGCAATTCAAAATTGAGCAATTTGTTGATCTTTTAACACTAAAGATAGCTTTTAAGATAAATTTTATGGTACTAATAATATATACTCGATAGGGACATGATAGACAAAAAAATATTGAGAAATAAAAGAGAGAATTAAAAAACGTGTGCTTAAGTGGAAATATTCTTATTAATTTTAATGAGTTCGATGTGATTTTTTTTCTTTACGTGTGCCTCTCTCTTCAAGCTAACCTTATGATGTAATTATTATTAGTTATTCCTTGAATATCTTAACATTTTAAAATTTTTTTGTTATGATAAAGAAAAAAAGATAACTATTATTTATTTAAATTATGATTAGTTCCCATTTGCTATTTTCAAAGTACAATGAATGTGCTTTTTACGGGAAAAAAATGAAAAATTACAAAGAGAGGGATGAAAGATAAATCAAACATAAATTTAACATCGGAAAAATAATAAAAAATAGATGTATGTTGAAAAAATAATAATAATTGTAAAAGATTGTTGTGATAATGGTAAAAAAAAAAAGGATAGAAGAAGAGATGATAGAAAATTGATTTTACTATGAAATAAAGAGAATATAAGAGATAACAACTCTAAACAATTCTCTCAATCTCTACAAAATACTTGTATGCAAACTAATAAATAATTAAGTATGTTTATAGGTTTCAAAATTAGAAAGAGAATTGGAAATGATAATGAACAATTAAAAAGTATATAAATAGTTGAATCAATTATATCACATTTTCAATTTCTTATATTGGATAGTGAATTGAATCACTTTAAGAATTATTAGTGAGAGTATAAAAAGAATATGAACATTCATTATTTCATAACATATCTATTGCATTCTCTTTATTTCATAGTGAAATTATTTTTTTATTATTATTTTTTACCATTATCGTAACAATATTTTATGATTATTATTATTTTTTCAACACGTTATCAAGCACAAGTGCTCTACCAAAAGACACAAATCATCTAGACTATTAAGAGATATATATCTAAGTTATCTTTTACTTTAAATCTAATGATACATATAGTATATATTTAAAAAACTTGAATGATCTAATATATATTCTAATGATTTGATGTATGTTATTTGAAAAGTTTGAATTTTGAAAATATTCATTATCTTATGGAGAATCTTCAAGACAAGGTTATTCGCCTTGAAAATGATTTGTTGGATGGGTGGAATGAGAGTATTAATAAAGACTTACAATCTACAAGGGATGATTTATCTTAATTGAATGGGTGGTAAGCAAATCTACTACAACGAAAGCAAGGACAATTTGGGTACATGAAGGTAATCGTAATAACTTTTTTTTTCATGCTTGTATTAAGGATAATGCTAGGAAACAATCTTTTAGTTTAAGATAACATAATGGAACTCTTATAGATGATACGGATGTTATAGGTCTTATAGATGTTAAGTTTTTCAAAGATTTTTTTTTTTGCTAGTAGACCTATTAGACATGATTCTTTGCTAGTGAGAAACTTTAAACAAGTTTTAATAAGCCATAATAATATGCTTACGAAATTCCATCCGAAGCTGAAATTTAGGAGGCAATTAACGACTTTAATCCTTCAAATGCCCTGGGTTTAGATGGTTTTACCGACCACTTTTTCAAAGATAACTCGGGAATCGATTAAGTAGGAGGTCATTTTGGCAATCCAAGATTTTTTAAGCGTAGGCATATTCCCAAAGGTATGGCAATAACAATTTTAATCTTGATTTTTAAGATTCCAAATGCTACCGATATGAGTGATTTAAGACCAATAAGCCTTTTATCATTTAGGTGAAAAATTATTTCAAAAATCATGACTAATAGACTAAGTAAAATTCTCCCTTATATCATCTCTTTGGAACAAGCTAGTTTTGTTAAGGGTAGGAATATAACAAAAAATATTGCAATTGCTCAAGAATTAAGGGCGATTTAAATAGAAATACACATGGTAGCAATCTTATTTTCAATTTAGATATTTCTCAAGCTTATAATAAAGTTAAATGGTCTTTTTTGTTAAGGACCGTGAGCGAAATAGGTTTTTATAACCATTGGTATGATCCGGTATATAGTTGTATTAGTAATGTTTGGTATATCATTAGGGTCCAATGGAGGAACTGTGGCTTTTTTAAATCTAATAGAGGAATCAAACAAGGGGACCCTTTATCTTCTCTACTATTTATTCTAGTTTAGCAAGTTCTCTCGTATTCTTTAGATCATGCAACCGGAGAAAGACATATCACTCTCTATAAGGTAGGAGGACATGGTGACATAACCATTACATATTTGTTATATGCAAATAATATGTTGCTATTTACCAATAGCTCTAAACAATCAAATTCTTCATCTTAGAAAATTGATTATAGAATATGAGGAGTCTTTAGGTCAGTCACTAAATAGGAGTCTTTAGGTCGATTACTAAATTTATCCAATAAGTGGGTTTTGTACCTCAAAGAAAATGCCTAATATTCGTATTGCTTTAGTCAAGATATGGATAGGGTGTAACCACTTGAGTTTCCCCATTAAATACGTTATAGTGCCTCTATTTCATGGTCAAATAAAATGTAGGTATTTTTAGCATTTAATGAATTCCTTAACAAATAGGATAGGAGGGTTAAAATCTAAATACCAATCTTTTGGGGCCGGATTATACTTTTGAAAGCAACGTTAAGTAGTATTCCTATCCATACTATTTTTGCTATCCCTTGTCAAAAATGACAATCTATAGGCTTGAAAGGATTATGGCTAATTTTTTATGAAGCTCAATAAAGGAGTCGAAGTAGCATTGAATATCTTAGGATGGGATGTGTTGGCCTTTGTCGGAGGGTGGTTTGGGTATTCGTAGCTTGTCATAGGTTATGGATGCTTTACATGCTAAATTGGCTTGGTTCTTTCTTTAGGGTTATGGGCTAAGATCATGAAAGATAAATATGGCCTTACTCTCCATTGTTGCTCTTATTTTTCTTACATTTGAAATGATATTTTTAACCACTTTTCTATCTTAGAAGATTGTATTTCTTGGATTATGAGTAAGGGTTCAATTCCATTTTGGAGGTCTAATTGGTGTGGAACTCGTTTTGAATCCTCCTATACCATTGGACTATAATCTATTAGTAAATGAGGCTTTTTCCTGTTTAGATGATTTCCTTCCTTTCATTCTCTCTTAATATCATAATTTTGTGAAGGTTATTCAATTGGAAGAGTAGTTAGAGGATAAAATGGTGTTTAACTTATCTAAGACATGTAGTTTTAAATCCAAATCCTATTGGAATCATAGTAGACAACATCGCCCATGGGTTTGGTGGGCTAAATTAGTTTGGCATTCTTACATTCCTCCTAAAGTAAAACGTTTCATCCGGAGGTGGTTTCATAGGGCTCTTCTAGTTGATTTTAGGATTAAGGAATTGACTATTCCTATGGTCTTCATCTATAGGT